TATAAGAATAATAATTATTTTTAATTGTTTTTAATTATTTTAATTATTTTTTTAATTATTATTTTAGCAAATTAAATATTAAATAAGTAATTGATTTTATTGGAGAAACTTGAAAAAAAGTAATATAATCAACAATTACAAATTGTTGGATCAAAATAGGCATTTTACCAGATACAAATGAAGAAGAAATTAATAATGTTAAAAATAATATACAAGATAAATATTTACAAAATCAAAATAAAATTGATAATCTTTTATTAGATATAAATATTCCACTAGAATTTGATGACAATAATATAGCTACTGAAGAACCATTAACAGATGATTAAATAATTGAAATGATATTAGAAGAAAATAATTTTACATCACAAAATATTAATAATGAATTTGACAATGAAGAAACACAAGAAATATCTACTGTTAGTATAAAAGAAGGTCTTGTATTTTTAAAAAAATGGATAAGTTTTTTTGAATAACAAAATTCAGATGATTTTTATTTTGAAGATTTAATCAAGTTTAAAAAATATATACGAATTATTGAAAAAATGAAATTTGCAAACAAAAAACAAACAAAATTAGATAGTATTTTTTTTACAAATATGAGTTTTGAAATAACTAAGGTAGATATTTTAAATTCTAATTATGAAATAAATGAAAATTTTGAAATAACTGAAGTAGATACTTTAAATTCAAATTTTGAAATGAATGAAAATATTGAATTAGAAGATTATATGTAATATAAAATTTAATAAAAATTTATAATTACTGGTGATATGTTTTTTATATGATATGATTATATATAGGTTTTTTTTGTAATATCACATTTGTTTATAATCACCACCAAAATTTGATCCTAAGGTGGTAATTATATATAGGTCTGATTGTATATATATAAATATATATTTTACTAATATTTTTTTTTTTTTTTATTATTAGGTCTTTAACAATGTGATGATTATGGTGATTTCAGCAATGTAAATGTTACAAGGGAAAATGTAATTGAATAAAAATAATTAAATATAAATTTTTAAAATTAAAGAAATATAATAGAGTTAAGTTTTAATATGGTGAACTCTTTTTGAAACAAAATCACCACTTGATCAATCTTCTCATTTGAAAATTGGTAATTTCTTCTTACAGTATAGATGATTATATGGGTTGTAAGGGTTTAAAAATATGAGTGTTTTTAATACTATAAAATAAATAAAATAATAAGTTGTTTGAAAGGTTAGACAAAATAAAAATATTGTTTTACTCAAAGATTAAAAGTAAAGAGATGAAATAAAATAAAAAATTTTTTTTTACAGATTAAAAAAAAAATTTTTCTTTTTGTATTATTAAAAATAAATTTACTAAAATTTGATAAGAGATAAAAATAAGATAAAAAGAAATATTCTGTTACTATCAAATTGTAATAAACTTGATTATGTTCACTGTAAGTTAGGTTAATAAGTTATTTTTATCAAGAAATAATAAGAAAATAAATGAAATACTGATTTAAACAGAAAATAATTTTTTAATTTTTCTTATTAAGATTTCATATAATTTATAATCAAAATTACAAATAACAAAATAGAAAATAAATAATAATCTGAAATTTAAAAATCAAATTTAGATTAATACAAAATATAAAAATAAAACAAAATGATTTAATAATAATATAATAATATAATAATAATAAATGATAAAATAATAAAATAATAAAATAAAATAATAATTATAGTACTGATTAAATAAATAAAAATAAATAAAAATAAAAAATGTTACATTCTTCCCTCCTTAAAATTTAACATCCAAGTTGATTTTCAAATTCATTTAATAATTTTATTACATTCATTAAATTTTCCTTGGGCTCCCAAGTTGCATCATATAATGGACAACCTTTTCATTTAATTAAATAAAATGGTTTTTGTTGAATTATCTTTTTATCTAAAATATTTTTAACTTCATATTCTTCTTCCTAGATTTCAAGAATTACTTCTGGTTGTGATAAAATTTCACAATTAAATTTGTTAGGATTATCTTCATATGGTTTTGACATTGACATATGGAATACAAGACATGTTTTTAAGATAGGAGTTAGTTTTAACTTGTATGTGGTTGGTGAAATAATTTTTTCAATTATGTAAGGTCCCATATATTTAGAAGAAGTTTCTTGATTGGATGGTTGAATTGGATAGAATCCATTATATTAAAAGTATTTACCATTTTTTTATCACCTTTTTTGAAAATTAATTCACACCTTTATTTATTGACATAATTTTCTTGTTGCACCTGTACTATCTGTAAATTGTCTTGAGTAATTTTAATAATGTTATCCCACTTTATAATAAATAATCAGTTGCAGTGACATTGGTGAGCTCACCAGCAGAAAGAGAGAAGGGGTATTAGGATGTTGACCATTATCTACTTTAAATGAAATAAATTTAGTGAAGAGATTTGTGAATTATTATACACAAACTCAACTGCAGATAATAATTCATCCCAATTGTTTTGTTGATAGTTGGTATATGCTCTTAAAATTTTCTCCAAGGTTCAATTCATTTGTTTGAATTGTTCATTAGTTTGAAATGATAAATGGTAGACATCACAAGTTGAGTTTCAATCTTTTTAAATAAGGATTTTTAAAATTTACTGGTGAATTTTTGAATCATGATTGGAAATAATCATTTTAGAAAGGTTATGATTTTTGATAATAGTTTTTAAAAAAGATATTGGCTATATTAACAGCAGTTGCATTAGTATAAGTTGAACAAAAATATACTTTTTTGAATAATTTTTCTACAAAAGTGACAATAGCATTATATCCTGTCTTTGTTTTTGGTAATTGAGTAACAAGATCCATTGTAATAAAGTTTCAACAATTTGTAAGTATTTGTAAGGATTGAAGAAGTCCAGTAAGCCTTTAATTAGATGATTTCATTTGTTGACAAGAATTGTAACTATTAATATATATTTTTATATCCTTGTTTAATCTAGGTCAAAAATAATTTTGAGAAATTCTTTCATAAGTTTTATTTATATTCAAATGTACTGAGGTTTCAATATGATGAGCCTTATATAATATGATAGTTCGTATTTTCTTATTATTAGAAATAGCAAGTCATTTGCCATTTCGAAGATAAATTAAATTATTATAAAGTTCAAAATTATAAGTTTTGAAATTATTATTATTTTTAGAAGTTAATATTTGATAAATAGGTTTGAAGTAAAAATCCTTTTTATATATTTCTATTATTAATTCCTTATTAATAGAATTGGTGATAATTTCAGTAATATTAAAAAGCTTAGGAATTCAAGATAATACATCCACTACAATATTCATCCTTCCTGGTTAATATTTGATATCAAAGTTTAAAAGATTGTAATGTTTAAAGCCATTGAGTTTGTCATCTAGATAAATATATTTGAGATTAAATAAATTTTAAAGCAGTATGATTTGTAATAATAATAAATTGTTTCTCTTCAAGGTAATGATGTCAAAGTTTAAAGTATGAACAATGGCAAGAAGTTCCTTTTTATGAGTTGAATAATTTAATTCAGCAGAATTTAATTTTCTAGATTCAAACATGACAGGTTGATCACCTTTATCATGATTTTGACTTAATACTGCTCCAATTGCAGAAGCATCAGTAGTTATGGTAAAAAGTTTGGTTTGATCCAGAATATGTAATACAGGAATTGAGATTAATTTTTTCTTTAGTTTATCAAAGGCTTCTTGTTGATTTTATTTCCATTTATATGGAATGTTCTTTTGTAATAAAGTTGTTAAAAGAGAAGCAATGGTAGAAAAGTTTTTAACAAATTTTCTATAATATAAAGCAAGTCCCAAGAATAATTTAAGTTCTGTTAGATTGACTATTTTTTTATTATTTCCACTTTTTGTTCATCAATAGAGATTCTTTCTCCAGAGATATAATGATCAAGATATTTAACCTTGTTTTTTAAAAATTCACATTTTTTTAATTTTATGTATAGTTGATGTTCTCTAAGTTTGAATAATACTTTATATAAATATTCCAAATGTTTCTCTTTAGTCTTGTTGTATATAAGAATATCATTAAGATATATGGTCACAAATTCATCAAGATATTCATGAAAAATATCATTCATGAGAATTATAAATATTGCAGAAGTATTTGTTAATCTGAAAGCCAGTACCAAAAATTCATAATGACTATAATGTGTTCAGAATGTGGTTTTATGAACATTCTCCTTTTTCATTCTGATTTGATGATATCCTAAATGTAAATTCAATTTAGAGAAATATTTAGCACCAATAAGACAATCTAATAAATCTTCAATTTGAGATAATAGGTAATAATTTTTGATGGTTATTTTATTTAAAATACAATAATCTATACAAAGATATAAAGTTCCTTCTTTTTTGTGAACAAAAAGAATAAAAGTGCCAAAAGGAGAAACAGAAGATTGAATAAATTCTTTTTGTAAATGATCAGAAAGTTGAATTTTTAATTCTTTGATTTTATAATTAGACAATTGATAGATAGGATAAGAAGGAAGTTTAGTACCAGGAATAAGATCAATTGCATGATCCAATCTTCTTTCTGGAGATAATCCACTTGGCAAATTTTTAGGAAAGATATTACTAAATTCTGTTAAAATTTTTTCAGTTTCAGGAAGATATTGTTTTAATTTTTCTTCAGAAGATTCCTTTTCAATTAAATAAAAACTAAACATTTCTTCATTTGAAAGTATTTTTACAAATTGTTATTTTGAAATAAAAATAGTATTGCATTCAGATTTCTTTGTTGATTTTTCATCCATTCAAATAGTAAATTATTTCCTTCCAAAATTAAATTTTAAAGTATTATTTTACCAATTGATAATGGGATTTGTGTTATATAACCAATTTTTGTCAAAGATTATATTATATTGATTTAGTTTGATAACTTATGCTCTAATACATTTAATCTCATATTTTTTCATTTTGAAATTGATTAATTTAACTTCACCTTTTGTTTCTTGTTTACAACTATCTGCTAATTCAATCTTTAAAAGTTTGATTAATTCAATATTTAACTTATATTTTTCAACAAAAGATTTGTTACCAAAATTAATGTGTAATATCACTATCTAATAAAATCCAAACTGTCTTTCCTTTTACTGTTCCATTAAATTATAATAATTTTTCAGAGCTTTCTTCAGTATTAGTTAAATATGTTAATTCTTCTAAATTATTATTAAAAGATTCTTGTTTAATATTTTTCAAAGATCTTTTTTTTCATATACATTGTTGACTGTGATTACCTTTACTAAACATGATTAACTAACAACTAATAATAGAGAAACTATTGTCTAAAAGATC